TGATGGTTATTTACTTGAGAGAGAGAGAAAGAGAGAGAGAATGAGTGGGCAAAGGGCAAAGAGAGAGGGAGACACAGAATCTGAAGCAGGCTGTAGGCTCTGAGCTGTCAGCATAGAGCCCGATGCGGGGCTCGAACTCATGAACTGTGTGAGATCATGACCTGAGCCAAAGTCAGATGCTCAACTGACTGAGCCACCCAGGTGGTTTTTCACCTTTTGAAAAACATTCCCAACATTTTGTTATGAAAAATTTCAAACATTCAACACAGGTAAATGAATTTTACATGGAACACCTATAAACCCACCACCTACATTCTACAGTGAACACAGTTAACATTTTACTATATTTACTATACTTGCTTTATCATATTTCCCTCTCTCTCATACACACACACACACACACACACACACACACACACACACACTTGTATTCCTTTCTCCATCCATTAAGCCATCTGATCTTCAGTGCATTTCAATTTTCTTAAGTGTTTTATTTATTTTTGAGAGAGAGAGAGAGTGCGAGCAGGGGAAGGTCAGAGAGAGAGGGAGAAACAGAATCCGAAGACAGGCTCCAGGCTCGGAGCTAGCTGCCAGCACAGAGCCCGACGCTGGACTAGAACCCACGAACTGTGAGATCATGATGAGTCGAAGCCAGACACTCAACCGACTGAGCCACCCAGGCGCCCCATGATCTTCAGTGCATTTCAAAATAAGTTGCAGACAGGGTCGCCTGGGTGGCTTAGTTGGTTAAGCATCTGATCAGGTCATGATCTCACAGTTCATGGGTGTGGGCCCTGCATCAGGCTCTGTGCTGACAGCTATCTCAGAGCCTAGAGGCTGTTTTGGATTCTGTAACTCCCTCTCTCTCTGACCCTCCCCTGCTTGCACTGTCTCTCTTTCTCTCTCTCTCTCTTTCTCTCTCCCTCTCTTTCTCTCTCCCAGAAATAAAACATTTAAAAAAATCAAATAAGTTACAGACAATAAACTTCTTCCTAAATACTTCCGCATTAAGTACAGCTCATATTTGTTTATAGCTTTTTTCATTTTATGTTAAAGTTATATAAAATGAAATGTATAAATCACTAAGGCTGACAGATACATACACCAGTGTTAACCAAAACCACAATCAAGAAACAGAACACTGGGGAACCTGGCTGACTCAGTTGGTAGAGCATGTGACTATAATCTCTGGGTCATGAATTCAAGCCCCATGTTGGGAATGGAGTATACATAAAAAAAAGAAAGAAAGAAAGAAGGAAATGGAACATTAACATCATCCCCATAAATTCCCTCATTCCCCTTCCTGCCTAATCTCTTTCCCAACCCCACCCAAGAGGCAATCAATCTTATGACTTTTTTCACCATAGATTAGTTTTGTCCATTCTAGAATGTCATATAACTAGAATAATACAACATACAGTCTTTCTATATGTTTTTTTAATATGCATAATATTGGTGAGGCTCATCCATCTTGAATCAGTATTTCATTCCTTTTTATGGATGAGTAGTGTTTCACTGTATGAATAAACAACAGATTTTAAAAACTCATCTTCTATTGGTGGGCCCTAGTCTGTTTTTAGCTCTGCTTCTTATAAGTAATGTCTCTATGAACATTCCTATATAGGCCTTTGTGTAAGCATATGTTTTCATTTATCCTGAATAAAATCCTAGGAATGGAATTGCTGGGCCAGAAGGTCAGTACATTTGACTTTTGTGCCAACTGCCAGATCTTTTCCCAAAATGGCATAGGTTGGTGTCTGGTGTTATTGGTCTTTTTAATTTTAGACATTCTGATGCATGTGTGGTGTCTCAATGTGATTTCAATTTGCATTTATCTGATGACTAACGATGTTGCATACTTTTTCATGGGCTTATCCACCATTTGTGTCTATCTCTTCCTTTATGAACTGCCTCTTCAGGGGCGTCTGGGTGGCTCAGTCGGTTAAGCGTCCGACTTCGGCTCAGGTCATGATCTCACGGTTTGTGGGTTCAAGCCCTGCATCGGGCTCTGTGCTGACAGCTAGCTCAGAGCCTGGAGCCTGCTTCAGATTCTATGTCTCCCTCTCTCTCTGACCTTCCCCTGCTCATGCTCTCTCTCTCTCTCTCTCTCTCTGAAATAAATAAAACATTAAAAAAAAAATGAGGGGCGCCTGGGTGGCTTAGTCGGTTAAGCGTCCGACTTTCGCTTAGATCATGATCTCGCGGTTCGTGGGTTCGAGCCCCGCGTCGGGCTCTGTGCTGACTGCCAGCTCAGAGCCTGGAGCCTGTTTCAGATTCTGTGTCTCCCTCTCTCTCTGACCCTCCCCTGCTCACGCTGTCTCTCTCTCTCTCTCCTAGAAATAAATAAAAAACATTAAAAAATTAAAAAAAAATGAACTGCCTTTTCAGGGGTACCTGGGTGGCTCAGTTAGATAAGCATCCGACTCCTGATTTCAGTTCAGGTCATGATTTCATGGTTCGCAAGATCACTAACAGTGCAGAGCCTGCTTGTGATTTTCTCTCTCCCTCTCTCTCTCTACCCTTTCTGTGCTTTCTCTCACTCTCTCTCTCCTCAAAATAAACATTAAAAAATGTTTTTGATCTAATTTTAGCAACTGGGAAGTCAAGGGGTGCGAGAGAGCAAATTCTTGACCCCTAGAGCCCTAAAACAGTAAATTTTCATGCTCTCTCCTTACAATTCTTTCTTCAAGAAAGGGAAAATGGTGATACCTAGGGGCGCCTGGGTGGCTTAGTCAGTTAAGTGTCCAACTTCGGCTCAGGTCATGATCTCACGGTTCATAGGTTCGAGCCCCGCGTCGGGCTCTGTGCTGACAGCTCAGAGCCTAGAGCCTGTTTCAGATTCCGTGTCTCCCTCTCTCTCTGACCCTCCCCTGCTCACACTCTTTGTCTCTCTCTCTCTCAGAAATAAATAAAACATCAAAAAATTTTTTAAAAAAGAAAGAAAATGATGATACTTCCAATTCAGAGGGAGTACCACATGCTGTCTAACGCGATGAGGCAACACTACCTCCTCCCCTCCCTGGCAGAAAACTGCACATACGTCAGACCATGACTCAGTCAATCAAATGTTTCCACTTGGCATCTTTAATTTAACATTTATTTTCTGAGAGACAGAATATGAGCGGGGGAGGGGCAGAGAGACAGGGAGTCACAGAATTCAAAGCAGGCTCCAGGTTCTGAGCTGTCAGCACAGAGCCCAATGCGGGGCTCAAACCCATGAACTCTGAGGCCATGACCAGAACCAAAGTTGGACGCTAAACCAACTAAGCCACCCAGGTGCCCTACGCTTGGCATTCTGAAACTTGTAGAAGTATCCTGGAGATGCAGGTCCAGCTGCAGCCATAACCAAGCCTTAGTGATAAGTGCCCTGAGTTGGTGACACCAGCAGTGGACACTTACTGAGAGGAAGCCTGATCTGGATTTCCCTCCTCTGCTGCCCTTCATAGTTAACTGCTTTGTGAGTTAGGTTCTCCAAACTTCCATCAACACTGTGAGTCCCCCACGCTTCTAGTAGACTCCTTTTCTCTTTTAAGGGGCCAGAGTGAATATCCAGTCCATTCCAAGAACTCTGCACAATAAACTAGTAACAGGAAAGTGCCCCAAACCTTCTAGAGAGGGGGTTGTGGTGTCAGAAACAGCATGTCCATAATAAACTCTTCAGATCAGGTAGAAATGTCCCCTCAAATTGTAGGAAAGCTTCACTTAGAAGTTATGTCTAGAAAAGGTGGGTAGGTATTTTTAAAAGATATCTCTTCCCTGAGCTACACTCAAATGTCTTCCGCTGACAGCTGGGTATGAATATGTCAACCTCAGGAGACATAAACCTCCCTGAGGACAAGAGCCCTGTTTCATCTTTTAATTCACAACTGCCTTACAGGTACTGTCCTAAGCTCTCAAAAATGCATGTCATACGACCCTCTTTATCTGTCCTTTCATACACCAGATTGCTAAATTTGTGTTCACAGCTCTCACACCTAATTTTAGATTCAGAATGTCCTTAGGGGACTTTGTCTTAATTCAAGACCAACAAGATCATCCCAGGGTCTCAGCTAAGTGTCCTTTGTTATTAGGGACACTTGTAGTGTTTCAGTACAAGAACGCATTGACAATCCTTTTTCTTTTTTAATGTTTTATTTATTTTGAGGGAGAGAGAGACAGCATGAGCAGGGGAGGGTCAGAGAGAGGGAGACACAGAATCGAAGACAGGCTCCAGGCTCTGAGCTAGGTGTCAGCACAGAGCCCGACGCGGGGCTCGAACCCACGAACTGTAAGATCATGACCTGAGCCGAAGCCGGATGCTTAACCAACTGAGCCACCCAGGCACCCCTGCACTGACAATTATTTCTCCTCTCTAGACACCCTGGCTGGGAGTTAAGAGGTATAGGCTATTTACCTACTTCCCTTGAATGGAATTACAAAAGGGAGGAGGAAGGGGGCACCCGGATTTGAACCGGGGACCTCTTGATCTGCAGTCAAATGCTCTACCCCTGAGCTATACCCCCATGACCTATTATCTTTCTCTTCCTTGTCCACTTAAGGTGACTCAGTACCACCAGGTTCCACCCACACCAGAGTTCTGGCAAGCTTTGTGCTCTAAAAGCTCCACCTTCTTTTGTATCCATCATCTGTTGTGGCTTTTCTCTTGGTCACCAGTAAACTGGGTGGGGACACTTGAAAAAAGACATCCTGGAAACTAGCTGAAAAGGAACTGACAGCGCCAGCAGAGAAGGTGCCCACAAGCCCTGGGTCAGAATTACTAGATCAGAATCCAGAGGCTGAAAAGCACCCCCAGATTCCCCTTGTTTGTGCCCTCTTGATGGACTGAGGGTAGAAAGGAGAAGGAAGATCAGGAAATCCTTCTCAGGGCCACCCATGGCAATCCCTTTGGCTCAGTTCTTGATGGACAATTAGTAGCCAGTGTCTAACCTGGGGCCCTGCTGCTGCCTGGGGCAGAGCTTTGTGGAGGGCTCGGTGAGCAGTGTAGCTGCTGCTTCTTACATGGGCAGGGGAGAACTGAGGCCTCCTTTCAAGCCTGGCACACGTTGGCATGGCACGTAAGGGCACGGGCCTGACGATGGCCTCTCTCCTCCCCCCTCCTCTCCAGAGGCTAGAGAAGCTGAGGGTGAAGAAACAAGCTGGCCCCGGTCCCCAGCTCGGAAAAGAAACAGCACACTTGGAGGCACAATAACCTCACTGTTTATATAAAAATAGAATTGAGAGATCATCTAAACATCTGTCTCCTATTCAGGTCAAGGGGTGGGAAGGGAAGGGATGCTGTCAGAACAGAGGGAATCGGGTGACCTCTCCAAAGACCGACGGGCGCTGGCGGAGAGCTGGGGTGTTCCTACGGTAGCCAAACCGACCATTGAACCCATTGCACATTTTCAGATCAGCATTGTAGTTATCGTGCCCGGTCACCTGCTGGAGGGAATGCCCTAGGGGGCGCAGAGAGAGGCATTCAGCACCTTGCTTTTCCCCCGCCCCCACAGGGCGGGTATAGAACATCCCCCCCGGGTTCCCGCTAAACCCTCACTCCTCAAGTGTCTCGAGCGTCTTGATTAAAAGCCAAGGGTTGATGGAGTCAAGAAGACAGACAGCTTTCTAGAAACCAAGCCACATATCACGAGTAGTATAGAGGAGGAGCATGAATGGTATGTGCTGGCACAGGAGGGGCCAGAAGATTCTGGGCTTGGCTGAACTTGCCTTGCTCCCAGGAAGACTGAAAACATCTCACCCTTGCTTCTGACCCATCTGGAGAAAATGGATGAGAGCTCAATTTGGCCAAATGGTGCAGAGGATCATGTGACTAGGTGCGGCCAAAGGGCAATGGGGTTGGGGTGGTAGGAGGGTTCACACTGTCAGAAAAACAGCTCTCAACCCTTCCTTTTCTTGCTGCTAAATCGGGCTTGGAAAAGGAACAGGACACAGCCTGCTCAGGGCGGGAGGAGTGAGGGAAACTTGGGAATTAGAGTTGGAAAGAGTGGAATTCCAATCCCGCTGAGCCCTTCTTGGCCAGTCACTTTACCTCCCTACACTGCAGCTTCCCCAGCAGGTAGCATAGGGATAGCCTGGGGGCAGATAGCGCCTGACAGAGTAGGCGCTCAGTCCCCATAAGGAGCACAGTGACATCATCTGCTCCTGCCTGAGAAGAAAAGCTGGAGGATGCGGTCCCTGGTCTCTTTCCCCCCAAAGAGGGCTCTCTGTGGCCCGGCTTCTCCCTCTGAACTGGGGGAATGCACATCACTCTTCCAGAAGGGTCCATGGTGAGGCGGGAACGCCAGGTGGCACTTGCCTGCCCCTGCCCAGTTTCTCCGGTTCAGGTATCTCTGTCCTTGCCCGAAGATGTGGAAATAATCCACTATCCAGCCATCCCTTCCTGTGCCCCCGTGATCCTGAAAGAGAGGGAGAAAACAGACACTGTCAGCCACCATGCTGAGAAGTGTGCATGCAAACTCCCTTCGGGCTTATTTTGGGGAGAGAGGTCACGGCCAGGGGTTACTGGGCCAGACAGGTTAAATATAAATATACATAGGGGCCTATTCTCTCTCAGGGAGAGGCAGCATAGCTGGGCAGTTAAGGGCTGTCTGTTGCCAGACAGACTGGTTCCAGTTCCAGCTCTGCCACTGACAAGCTCCGGGACCCTGGGCCAATGACGCAGCTCTCCTGGACCTCGATTTCCTCATCGCTTTAAGGAGGGTTGCTGACAGATTTAAGTGAGATTGTTCCAAAGGGTCCGGCACAGTTAAAGTTTTTTATTTTAAAAATATGCATTAGTGGGGCACCTTGGTTGCTTAGTGGTTAAGCATCTGATTTTGGCTCAGGTCATGATCTCACAGTTCGTGAGTTCAAGTCCCACATTGGGTGAGCTAGAGCCCTGATTCATGTGAGCCCCGCTTCTCTCTCTCTCCCTGTGCCTCGCTCACTTGAGCCCTTCTTTCTCTCAAAATATAAATAAACAAACATTATTTTTGGGAGCCTGGCTGGCTCAGTCTGTGGAGCATGCCACTCTTGATTTTGAGGGTGTGAGTCCAAGCCCCACGTAGGGGGGCAGGGTTTACTTAAAAACAAAACAAAAATATAAACAACCCCCTCATTATCTTTATGTAAATGAAGATAAGACCTACTACAAACAGTTGTGATGGTTAAAGAAATACTTATAAGTGGAAAGTTTAAAAAGTGTGTACACCATATTATGTTCAAGCTTTTATTTTATTAAAAAAATTTTTTTAATGTCTTATTTCTGAGAGAGAGCGAGAGACCACGTGAACAGGGGAGGGTCAGAGAGAGAGGGAGATACAGAATCTGAAACAGGCTCCAGGCCCTGAGCTAGCTGTCAGCACAGAGCCCGACACGGGGCTCAAACCCACAAACTATGAGATCATGACCTGAGCCAAAGTCGGATGCTTAACCGACTGAGCCACCCAGGCGCCTCTGTTTAAGCTTTTAAATACTCAAATTTTCTCTTTTTTTTTTCCTCCTAGACTCTGGTTCTGTCATAAAAATTACACGAGTACATAGCACGTACACCCTCAAGCATGGCACATACAGATGTGTCCACATATATGCAATATACAAGCGGACACACACACACAAACAGGAGTTCACAAAAAAAAAAACAAAAAACCGAGGACGTGTTCCCAGAATAACCCCCGTTAAGCCCTCCTCTCCCCTACCCATACCACTGTGACATAGGGAGACACAAATATTGGAGGCAAGGTGTTGAAGCCATCAACAAATAGAGTCGAGACCTTTGATCCCAGGTAGGACTCTGCGGAGAAGGGGCAACACCCACCAGGGGAGAGGCCTGGGGAGAAGTGAGGTGGCAGAGGTCTGGGAAGTTTCCTTGCTGCCTGCTCAGAGAAAAACCCATCGAGGGAGCCCCTCTGCAACTATGACGTCACCGATGGAGGGCGCCCAGCCTGGAAGGTGTTAAGTGTTTGTTGCATTCACTGAGGTCACAAGGATCTTCGCGCTCTTAGAGAATCTGTGGTGTGAGATCACCGCAAAGGGCGGGTCCATGACGTCAAAAAGGACAATGAAACCGATCTGTTTGGGAGAGGCCGGCTTCCAGCCCCGTTCTCTAAGACTTGCAGAAACCCCAAATGAGATCATTCTCAAATTCGGGAGTGGAACGTGATTTTGTGAGCCCTGTGAACTCAATTTACCTGTCACCGCCTGCGGCAGTTCCGAGGGTTCAGTAAAACCGAGGGGGTGGGAGTGGGGAGCCCTCCCTAGGGTAAAACGCCCGGATCTGGGAAGTCGTCCCCCGCCACCAGGGTCAAGCTCTGTGGGGACAGACAGTGGGATCGTCCGGGGCGCTCTTATAAATAACCTGTTCAGTCCTGCGCAGAACGGGCGGTACCACGTGGCTCTGGAAGTACCGGCGGGTGTGGTAGTCCTGCTGGGCGTTGTAGGGCGGAATCGCCGACCAGACCTTGGGCCTCAGGTGCTCATAGGTGCGGGCCATGGTGCTCACGGCCACACCATCCAGGATGAAGCCCTTCTCCAGCCGCAGAGGACACTCGCACACGTGCGACATCCCAACCGCTACAGCCTTCAAGGGCCTTTGTGGTGGGAGCTGAGGGCCCTAGGTAGGGGCTCCCCTGCGCATTGTGACGTGGTGTGGTGTCAAAGACTCCTGCGACACAAACCCCATGACCCCATCTAGTAGGGTAGGCTCTTAGGGCTCTGGGGTAAATTGCTTGCATGGCCGATAGGTGAAGGATCTGAGAGGAGACAAAGCAAGAGGAAGTGGGGATTGAAGACGGGGATTACAGAACCTAGGCCCTGCGAGCGCAGCGGGGGCCCCGCCCCCCACCCCCGCCTATGGTATACATTTCCCAGATTTAGCTCCGTTTTTGAGAAGCTTGTTTGTACCCAGCAGAGAGTTCAGACAGCATCTACTTCCAACTCTCATTTTACGTTAAGTGGAAATTGAAGCTCAGAAACATTGGGATATTCCCTAAATCCGTTTAGTGGCAGATCCAGAACCAGAATTCAGGTCTCCTGACTTCCAGTACTTCCTCTTAAAGCACTTCTTCCCACCCAATTATTTCCATCAGCTAGTATTCCTCCTCCTGTTAAAAAACAAACCACCCCCAGAAAACCCCAGCAGGTTGATACATTACCATATTTATCCTCTGGCTAATTTTTTGTATGTGACAGGATTGAGCAAACCCTGAACAATGATCTATTTCCTCATTTGTTGTGACTGTAGGTGATTTTTATTTCCTCCTTTCTTTTTTACTTCCAAACTTTTCCCCTTGATTAAGCCCTTACACAGAGGGTTTACCCCATCAAAGTGCCTTATTCAAACTTCCCCTCACACCAAGTCTTGAGATGTTATTCTACACGAGACCACTATGTAAACGCACATTTATTAGAAAAGGTGGCTTTAAAATTTTTTTAAATTTTTATTTCTGAGAGAGAGGTAGAGTGCGAGCAAGGAGGGGCAGAGAGGGAGACACAGAAGCTTAAGCAGGCTCCAGGCTCTGAGCTGTCAGCACAGAGCCCCATGCAGGGCTTGAACCCACAAATGGTGAGATCACGACCTGAGTCAAAGCTGGAAGTTCAACCCACTGAGTCACCCTGGCACCCCAAAAAGGTGGCTTTTTATATCTAGACACAGTAAAACCACTAATTCTGGCAATACTCAGCATATCTAAGGTTTCTATACTAGGACAGGTAAATTCCTAGAAACCTGAAACTATAGGGTATCAGTCTATAGTTTGAGTCTATTCTATTAAGACTTGAAAAGGACCCAGGCAGAACATGAAGACCTGAGAAGGAAGGGAAGAGCCCCAGACCTCACACCTGTTTGAAGAGGAGAAATTTCACATGTACAGAGTTCACATGAAAGGATAAAAAGGATTAATTTTACATGTCACGTCACATTAAAGACTTCAATTTCACAGGCTGGAGGATAGGAAAAGACAGGTCTGTTTCAGACTTCTGAATTTCTCAAACAAGGTTAAGTTGTCTAGACAGCACTGGATCTCAATCTTGGCTGCACCTTGGAATCTCCTGAAGAATCTTTTTAAAAAAGTACTGATGCAGGGCGCCTGTGTAGCTCAGTTGGTCTGACTTCAGCTCAGGTCATGATCTCATGGTTCATGGGTTTGAACCCGGCATCCAGCTGTGCTGACAGCTTGGAGCCTGGAGCCTGCTTCAGATTCGTGTCTCATCTCTCCACACCAACCCCCCCATGCTGTCTCAAAAATAGACATTAAAAAAAAAAAAATTAAAAATTGATGCCTGGGTCCTGCCTCCATAATCTGCCTTAATTGGCCTGGGATCCTGCCTGTACGTTTTTCAACTCCTCAGGTTGAGAACCATTAAAGTCCAAAACATTCCATTCTGAATCTTGAAGGACAAAAGGATAATCTTACTGAGTAGGTGCCAGGGTCCTTACATACTCTCATTTCCAGCCTTACAGAGAAAACTGTAGTTTTAAGGCTGAGTATTTTCAGGTAACAGACAAGTGAACGCAAACTTCAACCTAAAAAGCCAATTCCAGGGGTGCCTGGGTGGCTTGGTCAATTAAGGTTCCAATGTCAACTCAGGTCATGATCTCAGTTTGTTGAGTTCGAGCCCCACACTGGTCTCTGTGCTGACAGTTCAGGTCCTGGAGTCTGCTTTGGATTCTCCTTCTCTGCCCCTCTCAAGCTGATGCTCGCTCTATCCGGCAAAAATAAAAATACTTTAAAAAAATAAAATAAAAAGCCTATCCCAACATCTTTAGGCCCAACTACTGACCCAAACCTGCTGAATGCTCATTTTTTCTCAGGCCCTGAAACATAAAAATTCTCATGGTTTAGAAAGAGAAGTTACAGAGGCACCTGGATGGCTCAGTTGGTCGAGCATCCTACTCTATTTCAGCTCAGGTCATGATTCCATACTTGTGAGACTGAGTCCTGTGTAGGGCTCCATGCTCAGTGTGGAGCCTGCTTTGGAGTCTCAAAAAAAAAAAAAAAGAAAAAAGTGCCAGTGTCCAGTGTTTTCAAGTGGAATTTGCCAAGGTTTACACCCACTGTGCTTATATAATCACATCACCTTAATTTTTTTTTTAAGGTTTTGAAGCTTTTTTAAAGTTTAATGAGTGAGGGAGGGACAGAGATAGAATCCCAAGCAGGCTCTGCAATCCGGGGCTCAAAGTCAGGAACTGTGAGATTGTGACCTGGCTGAGCCACTCAGGTGTCCCCATCACTTTTTATTCTTTGAACTAGAGTTTACCAGGTACATCATACAGCCATCCTGTCAAAACGTTTTAATAGCAAAAAACCTGCAAATAATTTAAAAGAATTTAATCACTGTCCACGAAACAAACCTAATGGCAAATTATATTAGGTTTTATAAAGTCATTAATGTGCCAGTCTACCCAAAGAAAACCCAGAATTGCAGAAGTGCGCATATATACACCTGCACCCGGTCCTTCCTCACGTCGCTCCTGGACCTCCGTGTGTGTCCAGGATCTGACCATTACTCTACCTTATCTCAAATAAATTGCAAGGCAGTTACTTGGGGTAACCTCTTAGCAAACAGTATCTACTATCTGCAATTTACTTTAAGGACTCCAAACATAAAATACTAAGTTTTTATAGCAGAAACTGGAAAGTATGAAAATCTCTGTAGCATCACAAAGTACAAAACTGTGTACCTTTTATTTTACACACGTCCCCAGAAAGTTTGCACTGAGTAATTTCATTTTACAAAATGAGGCAACGTTTAGGTGGTGTCGAGAAGAATAATGTGTAGGGCCGCCTGAGTGGCTCAGTCAGTTAAACGTCCGACTTCAGCTCAGTTCATGATCTTGTAGTCTGTGAGTTCGAGCCCCGCATGAGGCTCTGTGCTGTCAGCTCAGAGCCTGGAGCCGCTTCAGATTCTGTGTCTCCCTCTCTCTCTGCCCCTTCCCCACACATGCTCTGTCTCAAAAAATGAATAAACGTTAAAAAAAAGAATAACGTGTAGAAAAGAACAGGGTGCAAATAATTTTTACTTTTTTTTTTTTTTTTAAAACAGATAAACCAAAGAATCACGCAATGCTGCCAGCATTGGATGCAATCCTGGGCCACAAGTCTGCACACTCCTTTGCAACTGGTCCTGTGATAGCAGAACCTGAATAAAAAAAGAAAGAGGGGACAGGTGAGATCAGACAGACCCAAGGGTTAAACCATCCAATCTCAAAGATCTAGGGAACAACATGGATACCTCCTTACCTTTCATTTCACCTTTATTGTTTACTATGACCCCCGCATTATCTTCAAAATAGAGAAACACGCCATCTTTTCTCCGATATGACTTTCGTTGTCGAATTACCACCGCTGGATGTACTAAAAGGGAATAAAGGGAGGCAGTCACTTAACCTGTCAAGTCCCAGTGCCACCACAAGAAAGCAGTTTACACCCCACCTAATTCCCTACCATTTCCCATTTGGACAGAATGTATACTCACCGTTGGCTTTTCATTTCCTAAAAGCAAGTGAAAGAGACAGTGCAAACATCAATCACCCCCTATGCAAAGACCTTACTTCAAGTCAAAACTGGCTGCATTTCCTTCCAGTGTAAATGTGTACTTTCAGGAGTACAATTAGCAACACACCAGCAGGAAACTTGCTAAGCACCTTCTATACTTTGACCCAACACATAGGGACTATTAAGATCCTAGTATCACAAAATGGGACCCCTCCCCCTTAGAACTGAAAAAGTAGAGAGGCCAAGCTATTAACTCATTAGGCAATGTTCCATCCCAGCATATATCAAAACTTCCAAGAAAATACACACCTAGATCTATAAAATTACTGCCCTCAAAGAACTTATTGGGATTAAATATGCACCATGTTAGATTTTATAAATATAAGCTCATTTACACATTAATTTATCTGTCCTAAGAAAACCTCCAACTTCTAGTGTGCATGTGTACACACACTCCTTGAACTCCAGGAGTCCGTCCAGGATCTTGACCATACACTCCACTTTATCTAAAATGCCTGACTGCTGGGCACATACATATGTTAATAAAGGCAAAAATTTGGGATTAACCTAAATGCCTCACAGCAAATACACAAAACAGTATCATTTAAAAATTATTAGGTCTATCTGCAATTTTTCATATGTAGGACAAGCAACTCCAGAGCAAGAAAAATGGGTTACAGGACAGTCATGGTCCCAATTAAACAAATTTTTTGCATCTAAGAAAAAAGGACATACAACAAAATATTAACAGTGATCATCTCTTGGAAGTTTGAAAGTTGGGTAAGTTTAATTCAACTTCTATTTCCTATGTAATTAACAAGGTTTAACTTTTGAGGAACTGTTTTCCAGGTCTTAAGTAACTTCTAAAAACCTACCTGCACTTAAGTGAACACTCCCAGATCTTCATCTCTTGCACTTGAAAGAACTAAAGTCAGACACAACCTGCATGCAAACCTTAATGGTCACTAATTTAGAGACCCTGAACAAGTTACTTAATCTTCTGAGGTTCAAGTTTTCCTCTTGGAAAACAGGGAGAACAGTTACATTTCCATATTCAAGTTCAGACACTAAATACAGGATTTTTTATATAAGGACAGGAATCCTGGCTATCCTTGAGGCAAATACTCTCTCTATATACTTCGACAGATTCTGATAAAGTTTTTAACAATGAAATACACATTGAGGGTTAACTATTTATGACAGCCTCCTGTTGAGCCCTCAATTACTCATAATCTTTTTTTTTTTTTTTTAGTAAACTCTATACCCAACATGGGGCTTGAACTCATGACCCTAAAATCAGGAGTTGCACGTACTACCCAGAGCCAGCCAGGCAACCCTACTCATATCCATTTAAATTCTCACAAATGACCAATCTAGCAGAGGAACAAAGCCACACAAATTGAGGACTTTGGACTTCCCAAACTGCCCCTTTCCACTGCCTGCATTTTCTTCAAGTTTCTGCTATCCAGAAGCCTAACGTAAGGCGATCTATTCTTTTAGGAGAAACCAGAACAAAGACATTAAAAGAGCTGGAAATTCACAACTGTTTTGAAAACCACGAAGTGTTCTCTGGTCTGTCCCACAATAACCTGATGGAGACCAACACCATGTGCTGCTGCCACCTCACCAAGAGACAGCAGATTGCTCTGCCCTTCCCTGACAGCTTCCCAGGCCACAGATCAGACCCAGCAAGTGTTCTAGGAGGAAAGCCTGTCTAGTTGCATGTAGATCTCAATTAACACATTGATTCTTTGATGTTTAGCCACAATGCATGGTACTCCTTGCCTACCAAGGCCTTAGGTGGGTATTAAAGGAGAGCAAAGATTTTTGGTGTAAAGGCTAAAAAACCAAGGGGTAGGGATGTGTGTTTGTGCAGGCTCACAAGGAGTACTGTGGTATGTGGCCAACACCCATTAAATGTGTACTTGTTATGTTCAAGTGATAGCTGGGACCCCTCAGGAAGAGAAAGATCTTCCAGGGCAGAGATAGACTAAGCAGGCACAGGAAGAAAGTTCCAAGAGCTGGAGTTAAGTGCACCATCAGAAGCTCTAAAGCCAGCCAAGACATTCCAAGTTAGAAGTGCTCCAGAACCTTCTCCCCCAACAAACTCCTACACCTAGTGGGGATTAAGCAATGATCAGCTCCCCATTTTACTTTCTACCAGAAAAGATTTATAAGCAAGCATGACAAACTTTTGACAAGTCACTATCTTGAGTTCATCTCCTCTATAAAAACAACTTGCCTTAAAACATGAAGAATGTTACTCTGTACTTGCAAAGCGCTGGTGTCAGAGCCCAAGTGCTCATTACATGCTCAGCTCATTACCTGAATCTCACAACCACTTTATGCAAGTTATCATTCTGCCCTTTCACATCAGTAGTTCCAGGAAAGGAAACTTGCCTGACACTTGGTCAAGCTCTAAGTGTCTATCAAAAAACAAAACCCCATATTTACTGGGGCATCTGGCTGGCTCAATCGGTAGGGCATGGGACTCCTGACCTTGGGATCCTGAATTCAAGCCCCACGCTCGGTGTAGAGATTACTTAAAAATATACACGTTTACCATATTCATTTGTAGCTGAGAAATCGGCAATGAACCAGACAGTTATCTGCTCTTCTGGAACTTAAATACAAGAAACAACTCTAATGCTACACAAAAAAATATCACTTGGATTAAGTGCGGGACAGGGAGGGCTGTTGCATGAGGTGACGTGTTAACAAGAAGTGAGCTAAAGAAGACTGAATTTGAGTGTCCCAGGCAGGAGGCGCAGGAAGTACAAAGGATCTGAAGCACCAAGGAAGGGGGAAGGAGAAATTAGGAACTGAAAGCAAATGAGCTGGAGAAGGCACCACAAAGACGGACTAAGTTCTACAAGGACAGGGCTTGTTCCCACAGGTATAGGTACTTGAGGTGGTTTATAACTATCTGCTGAACTTGTTGGGGAAATAGCAGGGTAAATATGTACTTCCTCGCAGCTTATATTGGGAACCAAGGAAGAACTTAAGTAGCAAAATGACATGGTTTACGTTTTTATTTTTAAAAGATTTTATTAAGGATTCTGTACAGCAGGCATAGGGCCTAAATGCACAACCCTGAGATCAAAGAGTCACATAACTCCAGCCAGCCAGATGCCCCAAGACATACACTTTAATTTTTTTTTAATGTTTATTCAGTTCGAGAGAGTAAGAAGAGAAAGAGGGGGAGAGGGAAGACAGTGCAAGCGGGGGAGGAGCAAAGAGAGAGGGAGACACAGAATCCAAAGCAGGCTCCAGGCTCTGAGCTGTCAGCACAGAGCCCAACGTGGGGCTGAGCCGAAGTCAGATGCTTAAGTGACTGAGCCACCCAGGTGCCCCAGACTTAGGTTTTTAAAAGACGGACCCTGACTTTAGGGTGGCAAATACACTTAATGGGTAAGGGGGCTAGAACAAATATAACAAATATAACACTGGGGTGCGTGGCTGGCTCAGTTATTAGCATTATGTCACTCTTGATCTCAGGGTAAGGCTTTCAAGCACCTTGCTGGGCAGAGATTACTTAAAACAAGCAAAAAAAGAAACAGACAAAACCAGACATGGGAGTGAACAGTCTCTAAGACAGCAAGAGCAGAACTTCAATTACAGAAAAACATCTCAGACTGCCTTTCAAAGGAAATCAAGCTTTTAAGAAGACTTGAAAATGATAAGAGTCGGGGTGCCCGGGTGGCTTAGTCGGTTAAGCGTCCGACTTTCGCTTAGGTCATGATCTCGCAGTTCGTGGGTTCGAGCCCCGCATCGGGCTCTGTGCTGCCAGCTCTGAGCCTGGAGCCTGTTTCAGTCTGTGACTCCCTCTCTCTGACCCTCCCCTGCTCACGCTGTCTCTCTCTCTCCTAGAAATAAAAGTTTTTTAAAAATTAAAAAAAAATGATAGAGTCACTGTTCCATTTTCTAGTAAAGGGACAAGTCCTTCACCTGTCCACCAAGCAACGAGGAAGAGTCAGGGCCTTCACTCACCCTTCTTTCTGAGCTCTGGTTTGCCTTTCTTCACTGTGGCCATCACCATGTCACCCACGCCAGCAGCAGGAAGTCTGTTCAGTCTTCCTTTAATCCCCTTCACAGAGATGATATACAGATTTTTGGCTCCTATGAAAGAATGTAAACAAGCATGATTTTTTTTTTTTTGGAGAGTATGTCAAGCAGCCCTCCCGGTGTCACGCTTCCCTGTCACTTCCAGAGCCTCTCCCTCCCCTCATACTCCCAGGAAGTCGCCCGCACCCCGCCCAAGGTGGAATACCTGTCACACCACCGATTGAAGCAAAACAACACACCACGCTGCTGCTTCACCCAAAAGCAGTGTTTTTACTCTGCCCTTTCTTGACGGCTCAGTGGGTCATTAGTCAAGGCCCAACGAGTGCTTTTAAAAGGGGGGCGGGGAGGGCTTTGACAGGGTGCGGATGAAGGTCTCACCCGTGTTGTCAGCACAGTTGATCACGGCTCCGACCGGAAGACCCAGGGAAATCCGGAACTTCGCACCGGAGGACCCACCACGTCCTGTGGGTAGGAAGGAAAAGAGGAATGGGGTCGCTGTCTAGTCATGGTTCGGGGCTCCTCTCACACTCCTAAGGGATACCTTCACCCGCACGTGCTTTGGGAAACGGCATACTACATCCCCTCTCTCTGGGACGCCACCTACCCCTCCCCAGGTGCCACCAATTCTCACGGCGAACAGCCACTTCCTCACCCTTACCGCCCCTCCGGGGAGATCAAGGGGCCCGAAACACCCAACCCTCGTTCCACCTTCTGCACCACGCAGCTCCTCCTGCAAGGCGGGAGGCCGCACAAGTCGCCCACCCTGGGACCCAAGTCAGTCCCACTTCAATACTATTACAGGAGCGCGAGGCGCAGGGCGACCCCGCGAGGTTCGGTCTAGAGTCCCGTCCAGATGCGGCCAACTCCGTTCTCCAGGCCCAGCGGGCCGTTTTCGGCAGCCCTTCCAGCGCTCTCGCGCGGGCCCCCTCTCCCTCTCCGCCTGGCCGGAGAGCAGAGCGCCACCGCTGCCCATGGCCGCCGCTCCGGACGAGACCGGGAGCCCCCTCGCGACAGATGGCGAAGGATAGCCAAGACACTCACCTCGCTTCGACATCTTGGCTTAGCAAGGAGTCGGAAAAGGAGTAGGTGCAAAGGACCCTGGGATATGAACTTTGACGCCCCGCCCAACTCGTCACGTGTCCCGGAGCCCGTTCAAGCCGCCTCTTCCCTCCAGCGCTGCAGGGCGCTGTGTTATTACGTAATACGCCCTGGACGTCGGGTTGAGTTCTCGCGGCGAAGTGGGCGGGGTCGGTGTTCGAGGCTGGTGGGGCGAATGACGCTCAGAGTCTCCTTTTTAAGCTCTCGGATGTAGGGGGCGGGGGGGGCCAGAAACATTGGTAAATTTACCCAGCAACCTCTTTTGAGCACGTAGGATGCGTCAGGAACTTCGCTGGACCCTGGAGGTTCAGATATGACTGATTAAAAGGTTCTGTGCTGTGTAGGGACCCCCAGAGAACACAGGGCGTGGGGGACCGAGCGAAAAGAGCTCTGAACGCTCTCATTAGGATATGGTATTGAAAAAAAAAAGTGTTGAAAAAGAGATTGCGAGTAAAAAGAAATGTGAAAGCCTCCCCCTCCCCCCGCAAAGGATGTGGTAATAGGAAGAGCCATTCTAGCACTACAGATAATCTCGTGTGCTTGTGTGTGTTTGGTCCCATACCCATTTGTATTTTAGAGATCTTGGTTTATTAGTTACCCATTTTACGGCTTCAGCCTCCCCATTCTGGCCTCTTTCCTTCTGTCAATACATTCAGTCAACTATTTATTGAGCACCTGCTTTATGCCAGGTACTGTCATGGGCATACATTAGATTATATCAGGGGGAAAAACAGATACAGGATTCTGCTAGAGTGGCAAAATGACAATGGGTATTAGACACCAAACAATAGATACAATAATTTCAGTGTATAGTCTGTTAGATGATGCATACTATGGAAAAGTAAAGGAATAAGGGAAGAGGGATCAGGAAGTGGCAGGAGGGACAAATTGCAATTTGAAGCAAGCAATATGGGCAGTGTGGGCTCCATGGGAGAAGCTGATATTAAAGCAAATAAAATTATTTGATAACTAGATTTTAGGTGAGGAAGTTAGCGATATGAATGTCTGGGAAGGGCAGTACAGATAGTCATGAGACAGTGAAGGCCCCCTAAGGCAGGAGTGTGCCTGAGCAATAGCAGGACAAACAGGGAAGCTGGATGTGACTGGGCCGAGTAAGTGAATGGAAGAGTAGTAGGAGAGGTCAGAAGTAACAGAACCAGGTTCTGTAGGGCTTTGTACACCAGTATGGACTTCGGCATTGACTGAACTGGAGAACCATTGCCCTCTTTGTAAACTGAGGAGGGAAATAATCTAATATATCAGATTGATCACTCTAGAAGCTAGACTGTGGGAGAGGACACAAAGTTACAAGTAAGGAGATGTGTTAGGAAGCTCTTGCAATACTCAAGAAAGAAATGATGGTGATTCGGACTTGAGCAGTAGCAGTAGAGGTAACGTAATGTGGTCAGATTCTGGATGCGTTTTGGAGGTAGAGCCAACAAAATAGGGGGCGTGAAAGAAAGGAAGGAGTCAAAATGTCTCCAAGGCTGTACCTCTGAGCAAGCTGAAGATGGCATTGGCATCAACTGGCTTGGGGAAAAGTACGGGGGAACAGATTTGGGGGTTAAAAACAGGACTTCAGTTTGGGACATGTTAAGTTAGATGTCTATTAGACAACCAAACAATATTCAAATAACAAGTTGGGCATACCAGCCTGTAGTTCTGGAGAGAAGGATCTATAAATTCAAGAATTGTTAGCATATATGTATACAGTTGACCCTTGAACAATTCTGGGATTAGAGTCACTGACCCCTCCATGGTACTCAAAAGTCCATGTATAACTTTTGACTCCCCTAAAACTTAACTACTACTAGCTTACTTTGACCAGAAGCCTTACCAACAGCATAAGCAATTGATTAAAATATTTTGTATGTTATATGTACTGGATTCAGAATACTGGATTTTTATAATATAAGATAGAATAAAATGTTATTAAGGAAATCACAAGGAATAGGGGCCCGTAGATGGCTCAGTCAGTTAAGCACCCAACTCTTGAGGTTTTGGTTCAAGTCATGATTTCACAGTTCATGAGTTCGAGCCCTGCCTTGGGCTCTGTGCTGCTGGTGTGAAGCCTGCTTGAGATTCTCTTTCTCCTTCTCTCTCTGCCCCTCCCCCCTCGAATAAATAAATAAACTTAAATTTTTTTTAAGAAAATCATAAGAAAGAAAAAATACATTTACAGTACTGCAATATATTTCTCGAAAAAAAAAATGTATATATAAGTGGACCAGTGCAGTTCAAACCCATGTTGTTCAAGGGTGAACCATGTTTAAAACCATGACAGTGGCTGAGGTCATAAAGGAGTAAGGGTAGGGGTATCTGGCTGGCTCAGTTGGTGGAACAAGTGACTCTTGATTTTGGAGTTGCATGTTCGAGCCCCGTGTTGGATGTAGAGATTAATTAAAAATTAAAAAAATCTAGCGGTGCCTGGGTGGCTCAGTCAGATCTGACTCTTGATTTCAGCTTAGGTCACGACCTCATGGTTCATGAGTTGAAACCCTGCATCAGGCTCTGTGCTGATAGTGTGGAGCCTACTTGGGATTCTCTCTATCCCTCCTCTCCCACCCCTCCCCCACTCATGTACATACTCTCTCAAAATAAATAAGCTTAAAATCTTTTTAATTTAAAAATCTAAAAAAAAAAAAAAGAATAAATAAAGACCATGAGCTAAGCTCTGGGGGACTTCAACATTCAGAAGTCTATAAATCCGTACATTTATAAATCTCTCTTATCACTCTTAAAATGCCTTCACTTGATCCTACCAACTTCTCTGACTACCAATTTTTCACTCTCTTTCACTTCTCAACCAAAGTCCATGGGTTTCTGAACATCCGATTTCCTTACCAAATGTGTCTCTTGATAAATGGAACCACCATCCATCCAGGTGTCCATCTGAGACTCTTTTCAGGTTACCTTCCAAATGTCTGTTGTAGGGGTGCCTGGCTGGCTGTGTGTACAGCATGGGACTCTTGAACTTGGGGTTGTAAATCCAAGCCCCACGATGGATGTGGAGATTACTTAAAAAATAAAAAAAATCTTAAGGGCACCTGGGTAGCTCAGTCAAATAAGCATCCAAGTCTTGATCTCAGAATCATGGGTTCGAGCTCCCCATTGGGCTCCATGGAGTCTGCTTGGGATTTTCTCTCTTCCTCTTTCTCTCTGCCCTTCCCCTGTTCATGCTCGCTCACTCTCTCTCTCTCTCTCTCTCTCTAAAAATAAATAACATTTAAAAAAATTGTCTGTCAGGGCACCTGGGTGGCTCAGTTGGTTAAGCCTCTGACTTTGGCTCAGGTCCTAATCTTGAGGTTGGTAGGTCTGAGCCCTGCTCCGGGCTCTGTGCTCACAGCTCAGAGCCTGGAGCTTGCTTTGGAGTCTGTGTCTCCCTGCCCCTCCCCTACTCGTGCTCTGTCTCTCTCTCTCTCCTCTCTTTCTCTCAAAAATAAATAAACATTAAAAAAACCATGTCTGTCATATCTATCCACTTCTCTCCGTCTCCTCTATACTGCCATGGTCCCTCTCTTACTTAAACTACTTTTGTTCTCTACTTCTCCCTCCTCCACCCACTCACTCATGGCCAAGAATAATTTTTCAGAAATGCAAAATGTTACAGTGTCACTCTCCTGAAAATCCTCCAGTGCTCTTAGAATCAAAGTTAAAATCTGTATAGTGGCCTTCAAGGCCCTGACATGGCATCGTCCTACCTCGTCAACTTTATCTTGCACCATGCTTGCTCCTGTTTGGAAGAGTTGACATTTTAATCCCAGAAACTGTCCCTGTTCCAAATACCCACTGGCTCACACATGCTTGGAATACTCTATGCTGCCTACCCTCATCATGGATATCATGTTTACTAAAGTTCAGATTTCAGTTTAAGTGTCTCTTAGGGAAATCTGCCCTGACCCCCATACTAGGTCAGGTCCCCCTGTTTTAAGCTATTTTAACATGCTGCATTTTTCTTTCATACTATGTAAAAAAAATTTTTTTTAAATGTTTTATTTATTTCTAGGAGAGAGAGAGAGAGAGACAGTGTGAGCAGGGGAGGGTCAGAGAGAGAGGGAGACACAGACTCTGAAATAGGCTCCAGGCTCTGAGCTGGCAGTCAGCAGAGGGCCCGACGCGGGGCTCGAACCCACGAACCGCGAGATCATGACCTAAGCGAAAGCCGGACGCTCAACCGACTAAGCCACCCAGGCGCCCCGTAAAAAAATTTTTTTAATGTTTATTTATTTTTAAGAGAAAGACAGAGTGTGAGTGGGGGAGGGGCAGAGAGAGGCTGGGGGGAGACCTAGAATCCAAAGCAGGCTCCAGGCTGTGAGCTGTCAGCACAGACCTGGACATGGGGCTTGAACTCACAAAGCATGAGATCATGACCTGAGCCGAAGTCAGATGCTTAACTGACTGAGCCACCCAGGTGTTCCCCCACTTTTTAAAAATGTCTTTCATACTATTTATTACAATTCATAAATATACATTTGAAGATTTTTTGTTGAATGACCCCCTCCCCCCAACTAGTCTATAACTAGTCTATAAGCTCCATGTCTATAAGGTCCATGTCCTTTTTGTTCAACAGTATATCCTGAGCACTTAGCATAGGGCTTCACTCAGTAAATACATGTGGATTGGTTGCTGAACAAATGAAGAAGTCAATCTCGATCATCTCCATATGTCAGCATCCTTGCATGAAGGAGTTTTCATTCACTTATGGCAAAATTAGAAATATTTAGAAGATGTAGTGTTTCTTATAAAGCTACATTTGCTCAGGTTATTTTTTTTAACTTGAGTTTTCAATTTACTTTTTAAAAATTATTTACATTTATTTATTTTTGAGAGGCAGAGCACAAGTGGGAGAGGGATAGAGAGAGAAGGAGACACAGAATCTGAAGCAGGCTCCAAGCTGTCAGCACAGAGCCAGAAACAGGGCTTGAACTCACAAACTATGAGATCACAACCTGAGCCTAAGTAAGACATTTAACCAGTTGAGCCACTCAGGAATCCCCACACGTGGTCAGTCTAAAGGACTACCTATTATTCTGGAATTATCTACC